GGTTCTGCCCATTGAGATCTGTATGAACTTATGGTTTTTCCACCGGAATTGTCCACAGTAATCATCATTTGGTTTTAACTGCAAGTGGTGCCGGGATTGTTGCCAAGAATCTCCACCATTGTCAGTATAAACACCAACTTCTGGAACTGCATATACTTCTACCCATATTACCTACCCATGTTTTTTTTTGCATTGCAAAAACAAATGAAAACAAAAAAAAAACATAAATTATCATTAGCATCCAACTCCTCCAGTTTCCTTACAGACTTTGAACATAAATCTGTGCTACCAGACAAAATTTCAATATCACATGATTCAGTCATGTCTACACTGAAGATATGAAAATAAAAAAAGCTGTATTTATCATAAAAGCATTGGTTGAATCTAATGACTTGACCTAAAGAGTTGTAAGTTCAATACCTGGCTACAGCCTGAGGTGAACAAAAACTCGGAGACTTGAGTTACTAAAGGGAAATAACCAAAACTGAGACATCCAGAAAAGGCATGGCATGTGGAACTAGAACAATCTACCCTGGTGAAAGAGTTCACTTTGAAATTCCAATCCTCAATTCGAAATGCTGGAGTGTACAATGGCTGAAACATTGTGAATATGGCAACAAAGATAAGGACGACAGTCCAAAATAGTGTAATTAATTTTATATGTTCAACTTGATAACTTGAATTCAAAGCCAATGTTTTGTTTTGCTGGGTTAATCTTAAAATCATGTGAGGCAGAAATTAGCTGTGACCCAACCATCAAAATTTTTTTTTTTTTATAATAGCTATTTTATGTCAACGTTGGCACTGATGATTCTAATACATGTTAAAGCATGATTTAAAACTATAATGTTTTGAACGTCATTGGTGAGCAAATTTCAGCAGAGTTGTTTTTTTTTTATTTTATTTTTCCAAATACTTACACTTTGGCACAAATGTGCTTGTGAAAAGGTATGAATTCATCTCTCTCTCTCTCTCTCTCTCTTCAGCTATGTGTCAAACAACAAGGCAGGCCAGCCTTGGTGAATGACACCTCTAGGTGTGGAGCTAGAATCTCAGCCTTACCCGACCTGCCCAACTTGCTATTGAAACCATGACAGTGCCATCTAGCGTAGTTTAGCTGTTGCCCTGTACTTCACTGGAGAATCTACAGATTCAAGAAGTAACAGCACTATGATGGGGTGGGGACCCCCCCCCAAAAAAAAAACAATACATTGATTTTAAATTTGAAAACTATAAGATATTCTGTTCTGAGTGCTGAAAGTGCTTGAAACCAATTAAAAAAATTTTTTTTTTTTTTAAAAAAAACAAAACCTGCAAAAGTCTTTTAAAAATGGAAAAAATATATATCAAAACAAAACCTTGTTTATGGTCTTGAATAAAATAAGAGAGGTATGGTGCCTTGATAGTAGATTAGTGTTATATATATATATATATATATATATATATATATATATATATATATATATATATATAAATAAAATATAGAACAAAAGGAAATATATATCAATCTAACATGTTTCATTTTCATTAAAGCTTTGTCAGAGATTGAGTGTATATATATATATATATATATATATATCCTTTCTGAATTCACTCTTTCTGCCTGAAATTCTTTTTGAATCTTAACATCTGATCTTGCAAGTGGAACAGGCAAAATTTTTTTTATAACATGTGCTGACGTCAATCGTCCATTTGGCAGGTTAAATTGGCCTTCTTATCTTTCTTAAATTCTAATATTCTGACTGACATACATTTGCTGATTTACATTCCTTTTGAAGGTGGCCATCACTGGCCAGTGCCTGGAGGATGCTTCACATCATCTCCAGGCCATAGCTCAGCAATCATTGAGTTAATCTGTTAAAGATCCAAAATAAACAAAGTTAATTTAAACTCTTCTCGCAACACAATACTACTTCTAATTTCAAACACATCTGTTTACCTTCCATTCTATGTCATCGTTAATGGTTGCTATGAGCGTGTTGTGTTTTGTTTAATAATCAAAAGCAAAGGCTGACCTGCAGTTGCATAAAAATCACAGAAACTAACATGTCTACACCAAAAACAATACCCTGTCCAGTGGCAAAAGCTGCTGGTGGCACCAGGGGTTGCAGTTCTGCCTTACTTGCTGAGACTGTGTTACCTCCTCTGGTTCTTAATGATAACTTATTTCGATAAAAGGGTATCATTTATAAATGTTTTCACACATTAGAAAAATCAGGTTGAACCCCACTCCAACCACGTTCATACTAACATGTCTCTTTTATTGGAATGACTCCCTTTTTAATAACATCTTTGGAGGTACCAAATTTAAGCTCGGTACTATCATCTTAAAAATAAAAATATTCCTGTAAATGTCATTCGATCATTCTTTATATACCGTGTCCCTTCACAATGTAGGTGATCATCACCCGCCACATCTTCTTGTCCCTTGTAGCTCTTGGTAAGTTTTGTTTTTTTGCTATTTCTCCCAAACCCTGTTCTACTATTCATTTACTAAAGC